TTGAAGGGCTCCCTTTAATATTCCTTGTAAGGTTGACATAGTTTTTACATATTCCCTTAATTTCTGTTTATCTGGAAATATTCTAGTTTCACCATCATATCTGTGAGACAATTTTACTGGATATGTATTTCTTAATTGGTAATTTTTTTCTTTCAGGGTTTTATTTAATGTCATCCCATTGCCTTCTTGCAAACAAGATTTTGGCCAAGTAATCAGAATTTAGTATTATTGGTTTCCCAGTTAGAATGAGTTTAAAACAAAATGTAGAAAAAAAACTCAAAGAAAAAAAAAAAAAGACCAGATTTAATGGTCAGAAAGAACCCCCAAGACTACTGCCTTCAGAAAACCTTCTAACTTGAAACTGAAGACACTATTGTGTGCCACCCTTTAGCTACAAAAATAGACAGCAGTATAAAGCTAGCAAAATGAAGAATGTGCTCCTCACAACAATCAACTATTTAAGACCAAAAGGACAACATTTGTCCAAAATCAAAGATAAGAAGATTGGTAGGTATCGCAGTGGGGCTTCCAACAACAACAACAAAGATAGGAAGGGACAGGGAAACTGGACAATCCGGCAACTCAGGGAGGAAACAGGTAGAGTGCTGACACATTACTGGGATTGCAACCAATGTCAGGGAACAACTTGTATATGAACTACTGATTAGGAAAACTAATTTGCATATAAACTTTCACCTTAATCACAATAAAATGTTTGGGAGAAAAAACTGCTTGTTTATTTTGGTAAAGAATAAAGCATAGAAGACAGATTGTTTTCAAAACTCAATGCCATTGGCGTTACACTTATAAATGTATCAGGGTTGATCTAGTATGGGTCTTTTCAACATTACTGAATTTTAAGCAACTGGTTGGGATAGTAAAATTTTCTTCGTATATCTATCATGACATATTTTGAATTTCCTAGGATTTTCATTAATTTCAAATCAAATACTTAATTTTCCTGAGAAGTTAAGGGATATATATGTAAAGGAGAGAGTAGTACCATTTTCAGAAGAAGAAAAGGAGCAGTACTCCCACTCAGACCAACATCATGGCACAGAAGAGTGTTTTCTTCATCCACACTAGCTGATACGTTTGTTCTCCACAACAGATACTTTTTTTTTTTTTTTTGAGAGGACAGAATAAAAATACATGGGAGAAAGGATCTGAGGCACAATATTCCTATACGGGTTGAGATAATTTCTTCTAAATAATGCTTAGTATGAGGGGGGGGGTGAGGGCTTGGTAGGACATAAAAGACATCCAGGAGAGTTGCTTTACCACATTCTACTATTAAGCTGAGATAAATCAATATGCATGGCTTAATGAAATTTATATAATAGACATCTTCTCTAATTGCTTTGGGCCCATGCTATACCAGCTGTTAAATATTTTTACTGTCACTTAGAATATATAGTCTATGGATCTGGACTTGTGCCAGTTGGCCTAGATTACCTCCCTCAGAGGCTTCAAATTATGGTATGTTCCTTTTAAATTATGTGTGTGTGTGTGTGTGTGTGTGTGTGTGTGTGAGTTCCTTTTAAAGATATATAGATAGATATAGATACAGATATATGCTATATCTAGGCTTTATCTGCTGAAGTCACATAAAGAAACTATCTTTATAGCAAAGTTCTTTATTCCTTATTAACATTTGGGATACGCTTGCTGATTTCAGAGAAACCAACCAACTAGACACATACCATATTAGAAAATAGTAGGAAAGTAGAAGAAAACACTAGACTTGAGCTCAAATCCTAGTTCTTCTCTTCAATTTTATGATAATTAATGTTTCATAGTTTTAGCTTTATCATCTGTAAAACAGAAACCAGACTACTTGCCTCACAGAGCTGTTGTTAAGAATTAAATGTCTTAATATCTATAGTATATCAAACATATAATTGATCAAATTCATAAGTAATGACTTTGAATCTATTCATTATGAAAGATATGGTTTACATTTCTGAACTCACAATTTAAAAAGAAATAAATATTTTAGAAGGTAGAGGCATATGCACAATTAAAAGGTTGAAACGTAAACCCTACAGGAACTAATATCACCTAACCTAGAGAAAGAAACATCATAGCTGTTTATTTTGTCATTTTCTAAGATGGGGCAATCTACTTATGTAAAGATTTACCACCTCAGAAACCGGGGGGCGGACAGGGTTGCTATGAGTTGGAATCAACTTAATGGCAGTAAGATAACTGAATAAGGTAAACTAAGGTTAAGTGAAGGGCCAAAAATTACAGTGAAATAAGAATATCAAGTGTACATTATTAAAAATTAGAAATCAGATTTTATGAAATATATGTGAATAAATCACTTCTACAACAAGTAAATTCCATCAGTATGTAATTGTGACCTTATCTGAAGACTAACTAATCTTTTAAAAATATTCTAGATTGAGAATTCCAAAAACAAAACAAAACTCATTGCTGTCGACTCGGATCCAACACATAGCAAACCCTCCTTGGGTTTCTGAGGCGATATCTCTACAGAAGTTTATTGCCCAATCTTCCTTCCAAGGAGTGGCTGGTGGGTTTGAACTGCCAGCCTTCTGGTTAGCAGTCAAATGGCTTAGGTACTATACCACAGATTTCCCAGGAGATGTAGAAAAAAGTGGCAATAAGGAGAGTAAATGCCCTGATGTAGCTCTGCTACTGAGACTCCATAAGAGCCCTAGTGGCGTAACAGTCTCTCATTCAGCTGCTAACAGAAAGGTTGGCAGCTCAAACCCACACAGTGGCTCCGCAGGAGAAAGACCTGGCAATCTGTTCCTATAAAAAGTATAGCCTAGAAAACTCTATGGGGCAGTTCTACTCTGTCACATGGGTTTGCTATGAGTCAAAATCACTGCACCTAACAACAACTACTAAGATTCCACACAGCTTAAGAAAGCCACTTCAGAAATTGGAGCATCCACTTTCTCATTTGGAAAATTAGTAATTTGATTATCTCCGAGTTATAAAAAATAGATTCTAGTTTAATGTTGTTTATGGCTGACATATATGGCAAGAATACAGGAGTAAAACCATGGGAATACATCAATAATTACAATGATTACTTACAGTGAAGCAGAGAAGGTTAACTATTAAATATACAATAAATTACTACTTTGATATAATAAATTGTACATGAAGTAGTCTGATTTTTTTAAGCAGTCTGTCAAGGTGTTTACAACCAGGAATAGCCTAGCTATATAGGTGAGTAATACACTGAAGTACAATGAAGTAACAATTATATATTCTAATATATAATATCCAAAATACCAATATCACTCATGCTTACCTTTTGAAAGTTATTTTTAGAAACAGCACAGGTATCTTTGACATATGTTTTGCTCATGAAAATAAAAATATTTGCATTCTCAAATTAATGGTGAGAAAAAATGTAAAAATGTAGTAGGTTTATAAAGGAATTAATTACAATTCATTCCTGATATACCAACTAAGTTCTGCGGATAAAGAATATATGGTTTTTATTCACCTACTCATAAACTACTTGAAACTTCACTTAAAAATGAACTCATCAAATAGAAGCATTTTATAAAATATTACCAGAAACTTAATGATGGAGGCCTGCCTACTTCCTGGAAAGAATTGAAATGACATACAATAAAATATGCATAAACAGTATATGCTTAAGGCCATCTTAGAAAGGTAATAAGTTGATTTTATTTGCATATGACCTAAATTTGAAATTTGATTTCCAATCCCATATTCCAACACCTAAACATAAATAGATATAGATATAGATATAGATATATAGACATAGATATAAAGGTTTCACTTAAAGTTATCAGAACTAAAAACTAAGTATTTTCCATAAGAGTATTAAGATTTTTCAAGATTATTTAATTTTTAACTTCTGGACCCTGAATGTTACTTTCTGAGAAAAAAAATGATTAATGCCCCTTTGCATCTTCTCCCCCAAACAAAAGAAAATTAAAAGCTTTGTACAGAAGAAAACCTTCCCCCAAAACATCTGCTTTACAATAACAAATTCGGTTATAGGTAGAACCCCAATGAATGTGGAATAAATGAATAAAGAAACTATACAAAGTACTTACATGTTGGAAAAAGTAATCAATGCTAACATATTTTAATCTCATTAAAGGCAAATTATGGTAATTATTCTCAAAAAAGTTCTAATAAAGAGTCAATAAATAACCAACCTTCGAAATATACATAAATTCCTTTTGTACACTACAGAGTAACTTATTATCTTAGTTAGAAAAAGTAAACACCTGAGGCAAAGACAATTTAAGTCTATTCTTTTCTAATATTATATGATCAATAAAATACACTGGCGTCGAGTCAGATTCAACTCATAGTGATGCCTCCTTGGGTTTTTGGGCAGTATTACTAAGAAGTAGGTTGCCCAACCTTCCTTCCAAGGAGTGGCTCTTTAGATTGATCATATCAATAGCTGATTCATTAAATTGAATGATTAACAGTATTTAGTATTTACTCTTAAAATTAGTATATTTACTTAATTTTGCAATTTAATTATCAAACTGAGTCTACTAAACTGATTGCTTCAACTATGAGTACAAATAAAAATGCCAATATGACTTGGACAAAGTATAAAATGAAACATCTGTGTTACTGTTGTCACTGATACTCATTCATAAGTATCCAAAGCCTTAGGATATTTCTAGAAATGCAAAGAGAAAATATACAACTTGTAATGCTAAACTGCATTACACTTTTATTGGATAACATTCTTTTTAAAAAAAGGGTAACATTTAGTTTCCTATGATTGTCATTCACAGTCCAATTACATTTCAGTATTGTATTAGTATCACTTCACTATGTATTAGGATTGTATAGTATGCATTAGTATCATTTCAATATTCTATCAGTATCATGTAATTAGTATTGTATTAGTATAGTCCATTAGCCAATGTGAGAAACATATTAGAGAAAAGAATTTAATAAATATTCAAAATCACTATTATTAAACTTAAGTGAAAAGAATACATCGAGAAAATTACCTGGCAAGCAATCTGTACGAGGTAGACCAGCTCTTTAGATTCACAGCCATTTTTTGTTATTTCATTCTGTTCTTCTGAAAGTGAAAGCTGTATCATAAAAGAAGAAACGGCAGAAGAGAGAAAGAGAAAGTCTTGGTCAATGAACAAGAATAAACTAAGCATTAAATAATATTTCAAACAGACTGTCCTATCAACTTTATTATATAAGATATGTCTTACATTAGAACTCTACTGCTTAAGGCATACAGATGAAGAAGTCAGATTTCAAAAAACTACATTTCTAAAGAACTGTCTTTATAACATATTTAAAATTTAAATCAGCACAAATACACAGCAGCAATAAATAAAACACATTTATTCAAGAACAGGTGTTCATTTCCTTAATTTACATATGTGAAAGGAAGGCTTTACATGGGCACTGAGAGACAGTGGAACACAGTGGTCAGAGCTCAGACACTATTACAGAGATTGCAAATTGGATGCACAGAGGCCATAATTATCAAGCAGAAATGGTACATTTCAGGATTATGAGTATACACAGTGAATTTTATGATTTTACTTTTATTAGAGCCAACAGACAACACTTATAGGTCAAATGATTTCATGTAAGACTATAGATTTCTTTACTTAAAAATTGGAAAATCTGGAATATTGGGCCCAAATTAAAACTGATTTGTTACCTTCAAAAGAGGCATGTGCTTTCCACAAGGTTGCCACAGACATTGCTTATTCTTTTTTCACCAATATCAAGGCTGAGTGTTAATTGGTAATTTACCATGCTGACTGCTTTGTTGTTTTTCTTACACTTTATTGGCTTCACTCATTTATAGTACAAACATGCTCCAGACACAGGCAACCTTAAATTCCAAAGAGTCATCAACTGTGCAACCTTGAGCTACATATTTAATCTATCATGAGAAAAATGGGATGATAATAATAATAATGCTTATTCTCAGGTTGGTGAGCATTGACTGAGGTGATGAATGTACTTAATCAGGTCCCTGGCACTTTAAATGAATGTTATGTACCATTATACCTAATATTATAAAATATGTTAGAATGAAGATATATTCTCAATTTATGAAAGCAGTATCAGCAGAAATCTTTCCTCAAAGGTTTTTTTTTTTTAAAAAAACCTTCTGTTAATAAGTACAATAAGTTCATAAAATAATAATCATTCCCATCCTAACAACCAATACCAGGCAAGTTAACTACACAATCATTAGGGTTTTTTTTTCCCTTAAATTTTATTTGTTTTGTTGTTGTTGAGAATATGCAAAGCAAAACATACACCAATCCAATCATATATACATGTACAATTTAGCCACATTATTTATTCTCACTCTCCTTTTCTGAATTGTTCCTCCCTAAATAACATAAACTTACTGCCTCCTAGGTGTCTATCTGGGAGCTCTGGTAGCATAGTGCCTAAGGCACTTAACTGCTAACCAGAAAGCTAGTGGTTCAAACCCACTAGCCACTCCTCCAAAGGAAGATGGGGCAACCTACTTCCGTAGTGATACTGCCTCGGAAACCCAAGGGGGGCTCACTATGAGTTGGGTCCAACTCGATGGCACATAACAACAACAGGTGTCTATCTGATCTCTCAAGTTGCTATTACCAATTTGACCCCACACAGATAGTTTTTAAAAGAATATAATGTTCAAGGTAGACTTTTTTCACTGTTGTTGTTATTGTTAGGTGCCGTTGAGTCATTTCTCACTCATAGTGACCCTACGCACAGCAGAACGAAACACCGCCTGATCCCGTGCCAGCTCCATGATTCCAGCTATACTTGAGCCCATTGTCGCAGCCACCATGTCAATCCATCTTGTTGAAGGCCTTCCCCTGTTTCGGCGACCCTCCACCTTACCAAGCATGACATCCTTCTCCAGGGAAAGGTCCCTTCTGACAATTTGACCAAAATAGGTGAGACAAAGTCTGGCCATTCTCACTTCTAAGGAGCATTTTGGCTGCACTTCCTTCAGGACAGATCTGTTAGTTCTTTTAGCAGTCCATGGAACTTTCAGCATTTTTCACCAGCACCACAACTCAAAAGCATAAACTCTTCTTTGGTCTTCCTTATTCATTGTCCAGCTCTCACATGCATACAAGGCGACTGAAAATATCATGGCTTGTGTTAGGCACACCTTAGTCCTCAAGAAGACATCCTTGCTCCTCAGCACTTGAAAACTTTCCTTCGCAGCCGACCTGCCCTGTGCTACATGTCGTCTAACGTCTTGACTGCTGCTCCCATTGGCATCGATTGTAGAACCAAGCAACGTGAATTCTTTGATAACCTCAAACTTTTCTCCATTCATCATGATGCTGCTTATTGGTCCAGTTGTGAGGATTATTGTTTTCTTTATATTGAGACGTAATCCATACTGCAGACTGTATTCTTCAATCTTCATCAGTAAGTGCCTCAAGTCATCCTCACTTTCAGCAAGCAAAGTTGTATGATCAGTGTATCTCAGGTTCTTAATGATTCTTCCTCCAATCCTGATGCCATGTTTTTTTCATATACTCCAGCTTCTTGGATTATTTGCACAACATATAGATTGAATAAGTATGGGGAAAGGACACTTTCCTGATGCACTCCCTTCTTGATTTTAAACCATGTAATTTCCCCTTGTTCTGTTCGAATGACAGCTTCCTGATCAATGTACAGGTTCCTCATGAGTACAATCAAGTGTTCGGGAATTCCCATTCTTCTCAATGTTATTAATAATTTGTCATGATCTACACAATCAAATGCCTTTGCATAGTCAGTAAAACACAAGTAAATATCTTTCTGGTATTCTTTGCCTTGAGCCAAGAACCATCTGACAGCAGCTATGATATCCCTTGTTGCATGTCCTCTTCTGAGTCCAGCCTGCACCTCTCAAAGTTCTCTGTCAATATACTGCTGCAACCATTTTTTAATTACCTTCAGTAAGATCTTACTTGCGTGAGATATTAATGGTATTGTTCTATAACTTCCACATTCTGTGGGATCACCTTTCTTTGGAATGGCTACAAATATGGATCTCTTCCAGTCAGTTGGCCAGGTAGCTGTCTTTCAAATCTCTTGGCATAACCAAGTGAGGGCCTCCAATGAGGCAATCGTTTGTTGAAATATCTCAATGGGTATTCAGTCAATTCCCAGAGGCCTGTTCTTCACCAATTCCTTCATTGCAGCTTGGACTTCCTCCTTCAGTACCACTGGTTCTAGGTCATATGCCACCTCCTAAAATGGATGAAGATAGACCAGTTCTTTTTGGTACAGTGAGTGTGTGTATTCCTGCCCTCTTCTTTTGATGTTTCCTGCATCATTCAGTATTTTGCCCATAGAATCTCTCATTATTGCAACTTAAGGCTTAATTTTTTTTCTTCAGTTCTTTCAGCTTGAGAAACGCCGAGCGTGTTCTTCCCTTTTGGTTTTCTAACTCTAGGTCTTTGCACATTTTATTATAGTAATTGGCTTTGTCTGTTCGAGTTGCTCTTTGAAATCTTCTGCTCAGATCTTTTATCTTGTCATTTCTTCCATTGGCCTTAGCTACTCTCCACTCCAGGGCAAGTTTCAGAGTCTCTTCTGTCATCCATTTTGGCCTTCTCTTCTTCTCTCATCTTTTTAGTGATCTCTTGCTTTCTTCATGGATAACGTTCTTGATATCCTTCCACAATTCTGGTTTTTGGTCACTGGTGTTCAATGCATCAAATCTATTATTTAAATAATCTCTAAATTCAGGAGGGATATATTCAAGATCATACTTTGGCTCTCTTAGACTTGTTTTAATTGTCTTTAACTTCCAGTTGAACTTGCATACAACCAGTTAATGGTCTGTTCCACTATCAGCTCCTGACCTGGTTTGGGCTGAAGATATTGAGCTTTTCCACTGCCTCTTGCCACAGATATAGTCAAACTGATTCCTGTGTGTTCCATCTGGTGAAGTCCATGTGTACAGTGGCCTTTTGTGTTGTTGAAAAAAGGTGTTTGCAATGAATAAGTCGTTGGTCTTGCAAAATTCTACCATGCAAGTTCCAGCATTATTTCTGTCACCAAGGCCAAATTTTCCAACTACTGGTGATTCTTCTTTGTTTCTAACTTTTGCATTCCAGTCACCAGTGATAATTAACACATCCTCATTGCATCTTCGGTCAATTTTAGACTGCAGAAGTTGATAAAAATCTTCAATTTCCTTATCTTTGGCTTTGTTAGTTAGTGCATAAATTTGAATAATAGTTGTATTAACAGGTCTTCCTTGTAGGTGTATGGATATTATCCTATCACTGACAGCATTGTACTTCAGGACAGTTCTTGAAACATCCTTTGTGATGATGAATGCCATGCCATTCCTCTTCAAACTGTCATTCCTGGTATAGTAGATCATATGGTTGTCTGATTCAAAGTGGCCAAAACCAGTCCATTTCAGCTCACTAATGCCGAGGATATCAATCTTTATGCATTCCATTTCATTTTTGACAACTTCCAATTTTCCTAGATTCATACTTTGTACATTCCATGTTCCGATGATTAATGGATGTCTGCAGCTGTTTCTCCTCAATTTTAGTAGTGCCACATCAGCAAATGGAGGTCTTGAAAGCTTTACCTTATCCATGAGTAAGGCTAGGTTTACTCTGATGATGCAGCTCTTTCCCAGTCCTATTTTGAGAGCCTTCTAACTTATCTGGACTATTCATAAAGTTGTGCAGTAATGTATCAAACAGTGTTTCGTTATTCATAAGGTTTTCCCTAGCCAATTCTTTGAGAAGTGGACGGCCTTTTCCTTCTTCTTAGTCTGTCTCAGTCTGTAAGCTGGGCTGATACCTGTGTACCATGTGCACCCCACTGGGTTTGAAACACCAGTGGCTCAGGTAAGCTAAATTACTGCTTGGTTTTAAGAAAATTCCAGGAGTTATTTTTGGTTTAAAGTTTAAAGATTATCTCAGGGCTATAGTGTCAGGGGTTCAGCCACCCTCCATGGCTCCAGAAAGTCTAATGTCCATGAAATCTTGAAATTTTGTTCTGTGTTTTCCCCCTTTTGATCAAGATTCTTCTATGGAATCTTTCATCAAAATGTTCAGTCATGGTAGCCAGGCACCAT